ATATAATTTATTTAAGTATATATGAATCATTATACTGATTGAAAATAGTTCGTGAGTAACATAATTTTTATAATATGGATGGATCATGGTAAAATAATTTAGTTAAAAAAAAATTATTATTATTATTATTATTGTTATTATTGATATTATTATTATTACTATTGTTATTACTATTATTATAGCAACAAATGTTTATAAGATTTTAAAGTGGTTTGGCTATGCTATTAAAACTACGTAGCTATTTTTTTTTTTTTTTTAAGAAAATTGTTTCATGAGAAAAAAAAGATAATATCGATTTTAGAATAAATAGCTTGAAGAAAACAAATTGCAATAGAATTGTTTTTATTTATGCCATTTGTATTTAGTGTGAATTATTATTAGTTGGTATGAGCATTAACTATTACATAATAATATAATAGCAAAACATATATGATTGCACTTAATTGGGTGTATTAATGTGAAAGGTAAAAAAAATATATTAATGATAGATTTTTGTAACCGAAAATGTAGAGAAACCAAATAATTTTATTAAATGTTTTGTCAGTAATTATATATTATAGATGTTAGATACAGATTCACTAGTCATTTTTCTGTTTGGGTTTTACTATTCATCGCCCCCCTTATCTGTTTGGGTTTTACTAATCCTCACCCCCTTATTATTATGTACTGCCCTGGACTATTTTGCACTTGTCATTTTTCCAAAAACCTCAGAAAATTGTAAAATGCTCTGTACCAGCCGATTTTCGGACAGAAAATGTCTTCCGGCGAGGTGCATTTTTTGCCGGCCAATCGGTGAGTTCCGCCGAACTCGATCGCGGTCGGCCTTCTTCGGACGTGGATATAGGCAGCGGTGATCTGCTGCGGCACATGCCCATGCACGTCTGAACCTGTCGGCTGGACGCGGCCGAGCTAGGCCGTAATCGTCGGTCGGCCGACAATATATATATATATTTTTTTTGAATTAGTTAATTCTATTTATGAAAAAAATTAGAAGTTAGAAATTATTATGTTATAAATTAGAATTGATTATCTTATAAATTAAAATTTGTTACTATTATGTTAAAAGATAAAAATTATTATGTTATAGATTAGAATTGAGATAATCATATGTATTAATAAAGGCCTAACTTTTAGTATATGTATTAATCTAAGGCCTGAATTTTATATTTTTTCAACAGAAGATTTACGTTTTAGGTTATTCTCACTCTAAGGCTTACTTTTTAGTTAACTTTTCATTATAGGCCCAACTAACTTTACTTTTTT